GTCGCGAGGGTGAGTTGGACAGGAGACAGGTTGGACCAGCAGAACGAAGGACATGGAGAGGGACAAGAGGGAGACTAGACTATCAGCTTCACTTTAAGGACGGGATAAGGGTGGCTCCCAGGGAGCAGTTGAGACCTGCGCAGGATTTCGGTGATCCCTTTTCCCCTCACCCGCTGGCCCTGCAGGAATATCTGGGGATTTAGAGCCATGTAATATCTCTCAGTCAGCAAGGAGGCCTCCCAAATGAACTCACCCAATTCAGAACCTTAGAGCTCTTATCAGATATCCAGGTCCTTCCTCCCCTTTCTTCCTTTTACTTCAGCCTCTCTTCAGATCTTCTTCAGATTGCCTTTTGACACTTCTATAGACATTCTCAGAAGGAAGTGTGGTAGAGTGACCAGGAAGGTGGGCGGGGGACCAACAAGGACCACTGGTGCCCCCCAGTAGCCCTGTTGGGCCCCTGCCCTGGATCTTGGCTTGGACAGTACAGGATAGTTAGTGAAGGGACGCTGGACCCGGTTTCCGGCATGCTATCTCATGCTTCCTCACGTCTCCCCTTATTCTCAACAGTGTAAGGGACGTTGGACCCGGTTTGCAGCAGGTGTTGCTCCCCACCATTAGATGGAGCCTGCCTGTGGGTGCTAGAGGTGGCTGACTACACCAGCACCTCTAGCATCACCAGGGGTGTGTATATATTAAAAAAAAAAAAAAAAAAAAAAAGTGTGAGGGGATTAATGCCTCCTTATACGCTACTGTCTGATGCCTCCAAGGATTGGGAGGGGATCAACGGGGCCTTCCTGTACGAAGATGGAGGCGGGAAAGGTGAGTGGGTGAAGAGCGGTGCGAAGCAGGACCAAGATTCTGATGAAGAGAGGGAGAAAGAAGCAAGAAGAAAAGGGATGGAAAAACAATTACGGGTTAGAGGAAGAAGGCGGGAAGGAGAAAAGGTGACGATGGCCTCGGATACAACAGGAGGCAGGGGAAGCTTGCATGAATGGTGCAGATGTGGAAACAGAAAGGCACAGAGACAGTTACGCTGCATCCAATCCAACTCTAGAACTACTTCGAGATTGAAAAATTCAAAAGCGGAATTGGAGTCCGACGCACCTATTCAGATTCTTTCAGAAAATTCACCGAGCTTTCCGAGACGGATTTGGGGACACTCATGTGCAAGAATGGACATGTCAGCGAGAAGTGCGCATGCAAATTCTGGAACGCCCAACTGCCGAACAAAATTCCTAGCGTGCTCGCTAAGGCGAGCGTAATTCATACGTAAAAAGTTTGTAGTCATTGAAGAAAAACATAAATTCCGAGAATCACGAGAAAGCAAAAACAATTTGAAGTAGGGAGGCCTCGGCGGCCATTGGACCCATGCATTATCCACCGGCCGAAAAAAAAAAGGGATACCCCAAATCTCGTTAACCGCCGAAAGGAGAAAGCAGTAAAACACAGGGTTTCAGAACTTCGTTCAAGCACAGGTGTTGGCGTGTCACATAAATCATCTGGAGGTACCCTAGGCTCTGTCATCAGAGGGCACATGGCCACCATCCGTCCCCATTATCTAGACCCCTCCAGTTGTTGTAGTTGTGTCTTGTCATCTCCCAAAGCAGGTCTTGTCCGTAGGTCCGAAGGCCACCATCCCATACGTCTTTCATTAACTGGGATGACTTTGACCTATTTGTGAACATGGGGAAGCAGACAATCCCACTGCTGCTTAACCCCCGAGAGGCCCCCTGCTGCAAATTCCCCTTCAAGTTGACGGAGGATCAACATCCAAGGTGGCCACTAAACCCCAGAAATCCCCAGTCGCCCTGAGGGAGGATCAACAGTCGAGGTGGTCTCTAACTGCCCGGAAAGCTCCAACTTACCTATCAACTAGCCTAAGGGTATCGATCTCCCTATCGACTAGGTTATCAATTAGGCTATCTACTAGGCTATCAACTAGGATCTTAAGTCTACTGTGATAGATGCGAGTCACTGTGCACCCTCATGAAGACCTGTAGTAGCATGCTCATACGTAGCTCCTGAAGTCCCCGTGCAATCGGGCGGAGTCTGCTTCAACCAGTGCTGAGCAGGGGGTAGGGGTCTCTGCTTAGCCCGGGTGCCTCAAACACTGTCTGATCAGGTCACCCCGCAAAGATGGTGATGGGTGATGGTCTTGGGTGGTTAACACTAGGGTAGGACAGGGGGGCTGGGGGTGCGCCAGGGCAAAAAGATAAGAGGAAGGGTGGGTGGGGTCTTCAGAGGGGTTCATCTGGACGACCGAGTGGCCTATTACTGTGGGTGACTGTCATCTATCTAGTATCCCACATCTACAACAACCTGGGCTTTCAAAAGAGAAAAAAAAAAAAAAAACTCCAGCTATCGGGGCTCCTGCTGCCCCCCAACAGCAAGGCCCTCAGGTAACCAACTACTCTAAGACTTGTGACCGTCCACTCCACTAGGCCTACCACGCCCATCCCCTGCCCTGACCCCAGCTATATCTGTGCAATGTGACGCAAAGGGCCGATCCGAATCGGACCCTGGATCTCTACTAGGCTGTGGGACAAGTACATGGGGTTCCAAACCAGCACCAACTGATCCTCGGCGGAGGAGGTTGAGGGCGGACAGAACTGAACCTGCAACTTCCCCGTGAAATACCAGAGCCTCGTTCGACACAACCTGGAAATTGCTGTTTTTCAAGGAAGTGTCGTTCGACCCCACCCTAATGACGCACCCTTTAAGTTGCTAATTGTTTCCACATGCCGGCTGCCAAGTGTCCGCCCTTGAAATGGAAGTTTAGCCTAGGCAAATCGACGAAAATCCCAAGGGTGCCTCGGGAGGTCACTTGGGGCGCAAGTGCTGGACCCTACAAAACTGGTAATATACGGACTCTTTTCTTTTTTTCTTGTTCTTTCCACGGAAATTGAATCACCACTGTTCCTGCTGCAATGCCATCAGCACTTCAGTTTGAAGGACGGCCGTCTCAACGGTTTCGTCAAGGGGGAAATTCATCACCTTCCGTGAGCTGTGTTTAAAAAAAAAAAAAAAAAGGTTGCCCTTGAAATTATTTTCAAGTGTTGTCGAACGAGGCCCCAACTGAGCTACCACACAGTCTTGGGTTTGCCAGTATCGAAGTCAGAGCTGTGAGCAGTTGAGTGACGACGGAAAGAGCTCTGTTCGACAAAGAAAGCTGAGGATAAGAGACATGAAAAGCAAAAGAAGTCCTTCGGGCCATCCGTTAAAATTGGAACGATACAGAGAAGATTAGCATGGCCCCTGTGCGACGATGACACACATAAAATTAAAAATTATAGAGAAGGGAAAACAAATGAAAAAATTAAAAGAAACCAAAAAGGAAAAGTCAGATAACCATGAAAACAAATGTGAAAAAGAACCTGAATGTCAGAGCTCTGACCAAATGAGCTACCACGGAAAGATCTCTGTTTGACAATTAAAGTGGAGGATAAGGGACTGATCCCACTACTTTTCTTTTTGGGGAGAACCAAAAAGAACCGCATTGGGCGGACTCGGGCCGGAAAAGCGAAATGGCATCCCACTTGCCCACCAGGTGCAGGACTTTTTTGAAAGTCGCGGCGGGACTTTCTGGCCAATCAGGGAATGGGTGTTGATCTACGGCCCAGCGGGCATGACAAAATTGGAAAAAAAAAAAAAAAAAAAGTCTTCTTTTTAGGGGCAGGAACGGGGGTCGCCTTCTTTTGCTTTTCGGTAGTTCTGTTTTGCTGCGGGTCACGGAGCAAGTGCCACGTACGTATTTGTTTCCGCTCCAGTTCGAACACGACTGGAGGACCTATAAACTCGTAAAGTAGTGGGATCCTGTAAAATTGAGAAGACTACATGCAAAAAAAAAAAAAAAAAAAAAAAAAAAAAAAAAAAAAAAAAAAAAGGAAAGGAAGAAGACTACGTGCTCCCGTGAACTGCCAGGTGGGACAATTCACAGTCTGGTACAGTGAGCGGGCTAAAGTACAGGTAACAGTATACATTTGAGGCAGGGTACGTGCTGAGTGGGAGCTGAGTGGGCAAGAACTGCCGATGCATCCGGGGGAATTGAGTGTGGTGTTGAGTCGCGTTTGGACACTACAGCCCTTGCAGGGGTGGGGTGGATATCAAGAACGGCATGGTTTCGGTTTTGTACAACGTGTCCTGGCTGTAGTGGTTAAGAGACTTGGGGGCTCGTTCCACACTCCTCGGGCCGTCCTCGGGGCCCGTGGAAATTTTCCCATCGTCGCCCGAGGAAATTCGCGCCGTCGTTCCACTCATCCTCGGAAATGTTCCCCGAGGACGATTCCTCAGGTGCTCCCGTGGCCAGTTTGATATTTCGATACGCGGACGCGGGGGGGGGGGGCGAGGTTGGTCTGGCGAGGTGTGTCTGTGCCGTCGTCCTTGGTCCAGCTGCTGCGGGCGGCGCGAATTTGAAAGTAGGCGGCGAAAAAAAAAAAAAGGCCACGAAAAAGGCACGCAGTCACGGATTCGAATTTCGAAATTCGAATTCCCATAAGCGAATGACGGCAGTACGGCTGACAGCAGCAACGTTCGTCGGCGGGACCGTTTGGGTATGGGGTGGGGGCTGCGTGGCTTCTGCTGGCACGCCGAACGTCCATGAATACGTGCGAAGCAGCAGGCACGCCGTCACACGATCGCCACCGTTGTCTACTTCGCAGGCGCACCTTCGTCGTCGACGTGTACGCCGTGCACTCCGGTCGTGACGACGCAGCATCACTGTTGTACCCACTGACGTCGAGCCTTCTTCACTTGGCGACGACGAGCGATGGACGTGAACGGGGACGCGGTCCATGACACACTCAGCAAGGCGGAGAGGACGGCGGTGGCAGCGGCCGTGAACGTGATCCTCATCAGGTGTCAATTGCAGAGGACCGAGGGGAGGATGAGAGCGGCCATTCGGCCGGAAGAAGACCATGCAGTTTATGCATGTGGACAAAGAGGGCAGTGCTGCCATTTGCGACGCTGTCCTGCAGGTGTGCTACGCCATGGGATGTGGAGCGTTTCCCAGAGCGACGCCCAGGAGGTGGATGAAGCGACGAACAGGGGGGGTGTGGGAGGATCTGCGGCAATGCGACGACGTGACGGAAGACTATTTCAAGGAGAAGCTGCGCATGTTGTCACGTGTGTTCCGGGAGATAGCGGAAGCTTTGTCTCCCTTCCTTCAATGGCGTGTCACTTTCTATAGGGAGCCCCTCCAACCTGACCTCATTGTAGCGTACGCTTTGTACAGATGGGCGTCGGGGGAGACGTACGAGAGCGGGACATGCAGCTTCGACATTGGCAGAAAGTCTGGGTTGGTGGTTGTGCGGGATGTAACTGCGGCATTGCTGAGTGCGTACGCCGACAAGATATCGTGGCCAACGGGGCTGCTGAAGGCGGTCGTCTTGCGCGCTTTCGCTGACAAGGGTTTCCCCAACTGCCATGGCTGCATCGATTGCACCCACATCTTCATCGACAAGCCAGCCAATTGCCCCGGGGAGGACTACTACGACAGAAAACGCCGTTTCTCCGTCCAGGCTCAGGTGGTCGTGGATCTCAACTTGCGCGTGCTGGACGTGTTCGTCGGATATCAAGGGAGTTGCCACGACGTGAGGATCGTCCACCTGTCCACTTTATGGGCGCGCACGGAGGCAGGGGAGCTTTTCGTTTGGTCACCTGTCATGCTGCCTTTCGGTGTGCGGACGAACCGGTATCTGCTGGGCGACAACGGTTACCCCCCCTCCGAATGGGTAGTCTTCCCCTACGGTGGTCTATCACAGCACCCGTCGGAGATGCGCTTCGACAACAAGCAGAAGACGGCGAGGGGAGAAGTCGAGAGGGCTTTCGGCAGACTGAAGGGGATGTGAAGGTTGTTCCTTCGCTCCCACAAGACCAACATGGAGACGTTGCCGCAGCAATTTGTCGCCGTCTGCATTCTGCACAACATACTCATCGACGCGAGCATCCCGTTCGACGACAATCTACTGTGGGAGGTCGGGCCGGACGGTGTTCGTCACAGGGTGGACCTTGGGATGCACCGCCCGATGAGGCAGATGTGCATGGAGTCATCGACGGGGGATGCGCTGATCCTGCGGAACGCACTGGCGGAGCGAATGGGTACGCAGTGAAGACGGCCAGTCGTTCGGAGTGGGCGGCATGCAGCCGCAGAGAGAGAGAGAGAGAGAGAGAGAGAGAGAGAGAGAGAGAGAGAGAGAGAGAGAGAGAGAGAGAGAG